TACCATATTCACTACACCCAAAATGCCTCTACCATACTCACCACACCCACCATGCTTCTCTACCATACTCACCACACCCACCATGCCTCTTTACCATACTCACCACACCCACCATGCTTATCTACCATACTCACCACACCCACAATGCCTCTACCATACTCACCACACCCATCATGCCTCTCTACCATACTCACCACACCCACCATGCTTCTCTGCCATACCCACCATGCCTCTCTACCATACTCACCACACCCATCATGCCTCTCTACCATACTCACCACACCCACCATGCTTCTCTGCCATACCCACCATGCCTCTCTACCATACTCACCACACCCACCATGCCTCTCTACTATACTCACCACACTCACAATGCCCCCTGTACAGTACTTCACATTTGTTAAAATGACTGTCCAGTTGGTAAAACAGAAAAGGAATGTCATTATTTAAGATGTTTAAGAAAATTTTTTGTGTAGGTCCTGTGTAAAATTTAGATTATACTATACTGTACACGTAATACTTTACTTTATCCTTTTCACCACTGATTGGCTTGTTAACCACATTTTTTTTTTACCGGAATTGGCCCACCCGGGCACAGGTCAACGAACCACATCGGGGCCTGGGGGTCAAAAAAAAAAGAATAACAAGAAATTAAAAATAGAAAAGGAAAAGGTGATATTAATCTACACCACGAAGATGCCGGAAAACCATCTTTTTAAAGTGAGACATTGTATGAGTATGGATACAGTACACTGTTAGCAAGGACTGGGCATGTACTGGTTCCAGGATGTATCTGTACTTAGTCTTGAATATGCTTACATTCAGCATCGCCACAATGCTCTCTGGCAAATATACTAAATATTTGGTACCAAAATAGCAAACATATTCTTTGGGGAATATTGTTACGACCCTCCTTTCTGCCGCTTACCCAGCTTCCACTGTTGGTTACCAGTGGCCAGGTCGTATATAGAGAAACAGTAAATGTATCACAAGTGTCATCGAAATACCAATAGCTGTCCCGCCAGTCTCCAGTAATTTCCCGATGATCCGTATCAGTGTACAGACAAACAACAGGCAGGAAGATTTCCACCAGGTCACAGAAACACACTTGTGCACTGTAGTCTTCTTTAAAAAACAGTAATTCTTCACAACACTGTTCACAGGGTCCGTCTTCACAACTGGGCTTCACATTTAGAATATATACATACAGCCAGCACACTGCCAGTGTAAAATTCCTCGAGTCTTTTTTCTCTTCATTTTGCTCACAACAATTCCACAATACTTGCTCAACAATTATCTTCAGGTGTCACTACTAGGCTTGTACTTCACACTCTGAGCAGATATGAACGACTGACCCCCCTAGGCAGCCCACTTTGGTCGGGTTCCCCGGATCGGTATGGCCTTGAGTTCTTCCAGGATCTCTGGTCTGGTTCTCGTCGCTGGTAGGTGACTGTTCCTCAGAAACTTCCCAGGTATATTGCCCTGGCCCATGATACTGCCACAGATGATTGATGTAGACTACATCTGAAAGGTGTTTCACTTGTGTACTGTATGGTCCTTCCTGTGGACTCTGCAAGTTAGGTGACTGACCCTTCTTCCACAGAGGGTTATACAATCAGACCTTAACACCGTCCTTGACATCATGGTTGCGCTTCATCACTTCACCCGAGAACTCCAGAGCTCTTCGAACTTGATGGTGGACCTCCGCCAGCCTTTGACGTAATTGGCGGTTTCGTCAGGAAGTTCTTCATCAGGCGGTCTTCCTGTCAGCAGGTCCACTGGCATCCGCTGTTCGTGCCGATGTGTATCCAGTTGACTTGTAGGCAGCCGACCGATATGTCAACAACAGAGCAGGCAGCTTCTGGTCCCATTCTGTCTGTCCCTCAACACAGTACTTGGCCAGTTCTTGTCCCAAGGTCCAATTAAACTTTTCCACCATTCCATCTGACTGTGGTCAAGTGGAGTGGTCCTAGTCTTCCTTATGCCTAACAGTTTACAGCACTCGCTGAACATAGATGCCTCAAAGTTTTTGCCCTGGTCTGAGTGCAACTCGTGGGGCTACTGGGGCATGCCAAACCGACAGAAGAACTGGTCAACTAGTACCCTGCCAGCAGTCATGGCTTCCTGATTTGGGATGGCATATGCTTCTGGCCATTTAGTGAAGTAATCCATGGCCACACAGATGTACAGTCCTTTCACAAGTGTGTTTACAGGGGCTCGTCATATTAACATTCCACACATTATCATTGAGGTATTTGTTTTAATATTGTTTTAAGTTGATTCCATCGACTGATTACAAATGCTAGTTTCCTTCTGTCGAATGTAAACAAACACAGGGCTGCCACACTGCACAAAACCTGACGAGCCCCTGTAAATGCACTAGTGAAGGGGACTGTACCTGTTCCCATCAGCAGTGAGTGGCAGAGGTCCCGCAATATCCACTGCTACCCTCTCCATTGGTGCGCCTGCATTGTACAACTGCAGTAGGTACAGGGTATGCATGCGCATCCTTGGTCCCTTCTTGGCGCAGCAGACATCACATGAACGGCACCATTCTTTCACATCCTTATGCATGCCAACCCAATAAAACCTTTGCCGCAAGCAACTCAGGGTCTTCTTCACTCCCAGATGTCCACTACCTGGATTGTTGTGCATCTCTCTCAGGAAATCTGATCTCATCTTCCGGGGAGGTACTGTCTGCCAGTACCTGTTGAGGCCATCTGTAGTCACCCACTGGCGCTGTCGCAGACCATCCTTCAGCCGAAAAGCATCCCACCGAATCCAGTAGTGTTTAGTAGTAGGATTTGCTCCAGAGATCGTCTCCCATGCTGGCCGCACTGAGATCTGGTTCATCCACTCGACCATCCACTGAACCATTGGTTGCAGGTCTTGGTCTTCCAGCTGCAACTTATCAAGTCCTTCCCCAGCAATGGTTGGATCCTCCTCCAGTGTAGTGAGACTACACTTCTTTGGCGCCTCTCTCCTGCAACACTGCTGGCAATCATAATCACATGGCCGTCGGCTCAGACTATCAACATTCCCATGTACCGGCCCAGGCCTATAATGGATGATATAATTATGCTGATCCAGCTTCATAATCCACTGTACCAGTAGTCTTTCTGGATTCTTCAGGGTCTTAAGCCACCTCGGGTGGTGAAGCTAAATCCATACAGGTAGGGATGGAAAAAGTCTGAACTCTTTATCACAGTCAAGAGTTCCTTCCTGGCCACACAATAATTTATTTCTGGAGGGCATAACTTCTTGCTGTAGTATGCCACTATGTACTCGAAGTCGTCTTTCTTCTGTGACAGTACTCCACCGATGCCATCATCACTAGCATTACAGTCTAAGATGAATGGTTGAGTTGGATCCGGATACGGGAGCACTGGGGAGCTGGCCAAGGCATCCTTTGATTTGTCAAAGAAGCCTCGACTCTCAGTCGCTTCTTAGTCAGCTTGTGCAACGGTGCTGCGACCATGGCGAAGTTCTTCTCAAATTGCGGTAGTAGGTACAAAGGTCAAGGAAATTATGCAGCTCCCTTATACAGTTGGCACTGGCCAGTTTCTCACCACAGCCGCCTTCTCTGGTTTTGTGCATACTCGTCTTCACTTACTATGTGTCCCAGATATTAAACTTCCTTCTGGAACAAGTAGTATTTCTTTGGGATCAGTTTCAGGTGTGCAGCCCAAAACTGACTAAGAAGTTCGACCAAATATTTAATAGGTACCCATAAATTTTTCATTTTCATTTATCTCGATTGTTTGGGCAGTACTAACAACTTTTTAGCATGATTCATTGCCCTATCCCTTGGTTTGCAGCACAAAATGGCCACATTTTACTTACAAAACTTTTAGCCAAAAATTGCTTTCACCTTGAGAGCAGTTCTAAGTTTGATGGCTTCTCCACCAGCCAAACCAAAAATCCCACATAGGCTCTGCAGAGAAAATATACTAGACATGGAGGTGTTACCTTGTAGCGTACTGTATGTGGCCAGTTGTCAAATTCTCTTTGCTTGTCTATTATCTCTTTGTATGGGCTCACATACGTACGTATATGTAAGATATCTCACACTCAAGTAGAATAGAAACTCACAATGCGTTTTCTGTATATATATTGTATGTACTGTGCAGTGCTAAGGAGTTGCTGTGTGGTGAGAAGCTTGCTCAGAGATCCTGTTGGGTGAGGAGCTTTCTGAGGGAGCTGGTTGGTGAGGCGCTGTTGAGAGGTCTTGCTGGTTCAGGAGACTAGAGTAGAATGAATTCCGTAGCCAGGCCTACGCGTATTTATATGATTACTCAAGAACAGAGACACGAGGAGTGAATTGTGCGGAGCCAATCACTGTGCAGTACGCGCGAGGAGGATGGCGCGCTGATCCTGGGCGGAAGGTGAAGGTCCAAACTAGGTCGGCGATTGTACCCCTACGTGTCCGTACCTGAAACTTAGTCTGTCGACGTAG